TGTGTGTGTGTGTGTGTGTGTGTGTGTGTGTGAGGGGTGTTACTGTATGAGGTCTAATGGTGTGACACTGAAGCACGAGCACAGTTCAGTGCTCAGGCACAAAGCTCTAAGTGCCTGACGTCCCCCTCCTCCTGATGCTAATAAGCAGATCTGGGTCAGCTTACTCTCTCAAACACACATGCACACACACTTGCACATACGGCCTCAAATTCAGACAACAAATACACCCCCATCTACGTTCTCTCCTCCAAAACACACACGCACATGGCATCCATTACTCCCACGAGGCAAGACATGACATTGTGCCGCTGTCCGTGCACGTTGCGCGCAGCTCTCTGCTTGTTGTGCTTGTCATCCAGGCAGCAGTGATGAGGCGCAGGGGAACTAATAGTCTACAAGCACTGTGGGACTGCCATGCGTGATGCCAGGCAGCGTCCATTTTGTGGAGGAATGAGCAGACTGTTAGTTCCCACTGACAGGGAGGGGAAGGAGGGCAATATGCTGTTGGATTGAGTTTTATTGAATGTTCATGAACAATAGGGTTTGATCACACGTCCTCACGTCACGTCCTCATGATTTCTAGTTTAATGATTTGTCTTTCATTTTATGTTTGGGTCGTTCCCACTGACCATGATATCATATAATTGAGGAATAGTCAGTGAACATTTCAATGGTAATACAGGAAAGTGCTGCATATTTAGGATGGATGGATAATAAACTACCAATTAGATAACTGATTTATTCTATTTGAGTTTTTCCACATATGTCACAGTGGAGCATCCTCTCTCTCTCCAGGGAGGAAACCCTGAACCACCAGCTCACTTCTGGTTCTGTCATGTGTTTCTGTGGGCAGGAAAAGACTGTGACTTGTCACTGACATTATGTTGTTTTGTTTGCAGAACGCTCTGAGGGGAAAAACATCTGTCAGTGACGATTATGTGTGATTATGAATCACAGAGTTCTGCAATCATTTCCATTTTGTTCTCAACAGAGAACTTTCTTTTGTAAACAACAGGGTAACCACATGATGCCACTTTTTCTCATAGAAAACGGAACTTTATCCATCTTGTGTTGTTATGATGTCACAATAGAGTTATCCGTTAAAAATGTATTCTCTGCTACATTTACAATGTTTAGAATAATATTCACCTGTTCACAGGAGCAGAAACTCCTCGGTGAGTGAGGGAGTGATGAAATGACAGTTGGAGGAGCAGAGACCAGTTTACATAACAATCGTGACTCTGAGCACTTCTTATATATCAGAGCATCACTGTGGACAAAACCCCCCCCACAACCTCTATGACTCTGCTCCACACCCTGTCACGCCTGCACAGACACGCGCGCACACACACACACACACACACACACACACACACACACACACACACATTCTCATTCCTCTAGATGCACACACTGTAACCTCTATCTCTTTGCCTTTCTCTTACTTACTCTCTCTCTCTCTCTCTCTCACTCACACACACACACACACACACACACACACAGTCTGTCACTACCGCTCTCTTCAAATGGCCCTGTAAGCCCAGCAGATATTTTTGGGCCAGAGAGTGATTAATGTGTTTGTGCACCTGTCACTATTCATGCATTCATGTATGTGTGGGAGTGTGTGCACAAGTGCATGATGTGACTGTGTGTGGGAAGGGTATTTCTAGATTGAAAAATATTAAAATGTATATGTGTGTTTGTGTTTGTTGGGGGGGGGGGCAGTGATGATTGGGAGAGTCCTCCCTACGTCAGTCACATTATGGGGACTTGTCTTTCTTATAGGGACAAAAAGCAAGTCACCATTAAAATTAACACAGTCCTGGGAAGAGGTTTAATCAGGTTCAACATTTGTGTTGTTGCTTTCCCCAAAAGAAAACCAGGATGTGTGTCACTGTGTTTTGAAAAGAGGCTGACAGGACATCTCATTCACCAGTAATTATATAAATATATATACACGTCACCTCTTCTTTAAAGTCTAGGAAAAAATATTTCCTCGACACATTCCTGAATCTACCCAGGCTATAACTAGTCTTTTATCTCCATTATTATTTGTGTACTTCCTCTTGTATTTTAACCATTTGTTTTTGTGTTATGCAGGGATTTATACTTTGTGTTGAAAAGTGCTTTATGAGTAAAGTTTTAATAACTATTAACACCTGTAATTGGAGGTAAAAATATCATATTTTCTGAATCACACTTTTCAGTCTAAAATTGTGGGCCTTCCACTGAAACAGATGTGTTTAACAGTTTTTTTGTATTTTTACAAAATAGTTAAATTTCATTTATGTGGCACACATACTGTTTTTGGATTAGATGTAGAAAAGACAAAACATTTTCACATCTGTGGACCTTGATTTCCTAAACCCCACAGCCTATTGTGCAACAGGAAAATGATTGAATCTGGAAATAAGTGTGACTAATTTGTAATTTTGTGCAATTTCTACTTGCGCAAAGCCCGGACATACTTCTGAAAACATCGTGACCCCCATCAGCTCATCAACATTATCAAACCATGAAGATGCTTAAAAAATATGTATTTTCCATGAGCAAAAAAAGGAAATAAAATTCTCAGCACTGTGCATCATTGAAAGAAGGAAGCATCATTTCATTCTGTTATTTGTATTTCGCTTTTTTTGAGGTTTGGCTTGAATGCTTTAAATTATTTTTACATTGAGTCAGTCAGGTGCAAAATGCAAACTACTTGCTGGGGAAATCTCTTTTCTCCAAAATCTCAACACACACACACACACGCACACACACACACACACACACACACACACCCTTTCCAATTACTGTGACCATGGCAACTATCAGAGATTATTGCTCCCAGTCAGGGCTGCATGGCTGTTAAAGGAGGCGGTAAGCCCTTCCATATCTCAGGCCTACACACACACACACACACACACACACACACTGCACTGAATTAATCCTTCTCTTTGTAGCCTTATTGAAGTTAAATTGGTCGCCACAGCAACCAATCTCCAAACCCTTTCAAAGAGAAAAGAGACTGAAAATCCATTTTGTCAGCTCAGAAATACTTCATCGTGTTTGACAGAGCTCAATGTATTAAGGTAT